ATTTTACCATCCTCTTAAGTTTGTTTACATTGATATCAGAGGAAAAACTAAAATGACAAAACAAACCCAAAACAATGGGTAATACCAGTGTCTCCTTTCTAATTATAAGTTATATCATCCTGGTTTTAAACCCCGGGGTCTAAACCAGGAGTATATATAATAAAATAGAAGGAGATAAGACCATATTCTGGAAAAATCTCGTGTATAATACTATTAAAAACTACTTGTTATTTGATACGGGGCCAAAAACCGGAGTATTTATAAATAAAAAACGAGAGAGTCTTTTCTTAAATTACGGGTAAATTGGGTTTTAATCTTTTTAAATGTAGGTTGTTTAAAACTGAAAACTTGTTAAAAACCCCGAAAAAGTTTAAACGATTATGCAATAAGATTTCGTAAATTTTTATATGAAGTCTAAAAAACAAAAAACCCCCTCCGGGGCCAAAAACCAGGAATTGCCGATTTTTTGGGAAAAATTTTTATAAAGGTTCCCATTACATGATTTATTTACATGTTGTGTTTCTTTTAGGTTTGGTCCCAATTTGGTTACCACAGTACAGGGTAATTTTACTTTTGTCCTGAAATAAAAGAAAAGGGGAAAAAGGGGGAATTGAATAGTTTTATTTTTTCCCTTGACTTATCAGGTGGTTAAAATTTCACCAAAAAGTGATAAATATTAAGAAAAAAAAATATTCAAATTAATATTGTCAGTCCCCGCAGACGCCCAATTTTCATCATTGTCTTGAAAATGGCCAATTCTTAAACAAGTGCCAGAAATATAATTGTGAACCACGATCACTAACTGAGAGATAAATACATGTACATTGTATAACTTTACTTTGGGATCTGTCAAATGTTTTTAGGCCATAAAAATGCCAGGAAATCAACATACACATTTTAAATCATATATATTCCCTAGTTTTGTATTTAAACATTAATTTTGAGTAAATTATCTTTGATATTTTAACCATTTTTGAAAGGGAATTCCTTAAGTTTGTCAGCAGTAACGTGATAAAAATATGACTTGTGACTACATGTAGTTTGACCTTAAAACTGCAGGAATTTGTTACTTATTAATAAATAAGCATGGCGAATCCCAAGACACATTTTCCAAGATGTCCAATGGAATACCTTATTGTTATATTTAAGCAATGTTGATTTTTTTTCAGTTTTACAGCTAAATGAGCGACATATATAAAATGTAAAGAAAGGTCAATATTGTCTAATAATTCTCTTAATTTTTATTTCAGAACAGCACGAGGACTGTCTTCTTTCATTGGTGACTCAGGAATATAATGAATACAATATTCGAGTTATTCTTGCTGCTCACCTGTTTGGACCATTGGCTGGTGGTGGTTACCAGATTGGACAGAAAGGTTTCCCGAGGGATGCAAGAAGATGTTCTAGATGTAACAAAGATATAAGTGAAGCACTTAAGAATACATCACTTGGTAATTAACTTTTTATGTATTTATTTGATGTACTTGGGAGATTTTAACATGTAAGTAGATAGTCTCATGGTATTTCTTTACCAGTTAACTTATTAAGACAATAAAAGTATATTTCGTGAGATGAAATTTCAGTTAAGCTGCATTTAACTTACTTGAGGCATTGAGTCATCTTGAAACTTCACATTGTTTGACTTGATGACTTCCAGGCTCTTGTTGAGGATGTATCAAGTTTTGGTACTAGGTTCAAACCAGAGGAACACACTAGAGGCTGAACTTTCCCATTTTGAAGCTATCAGATTGTTTGTCTGTATGACTTAGTTTTTTTTAGCTGGATAGCTTCCTCACATGAAATAATCCAATGTCTCTGGTGGGATTTGAGCCCACAGCAGTGAAGTCAAGTGTTTTTTACAAGTAAGCATCAATTTATCATGAGTCATGATAAAATAGTGATGCTCACTTGTAAAAATTTGACACTCCCATTGAACCAATACAGTTGAAGTGTCATTTGTAAATTGTTTACCAGACAATATATGTTTACCTGGCAACTTATGTGATTATCAGATAATATATGTATTTACCAGGTAATATATGTTTACAAGGCAATTTATTCTTACCACGTAAAATATATAATTACCAAGTTACAGTGTATGACTATACATCATACATGTATATGTTTTTACCAAGCAATGTCTGTTCACCAAGTTAGATATGTTTTTAATAAGCAATGTCTGTTCACCAAGTTATAATGTGTTTACCTAGTCAAAATATATTGGCATGCCAAAGCTAGATTCTGAGATATTGTCGTTCTGGGCCAGAATCTCCCTATTGCCCAGACACAAAATAGCACAATATCTTGATGTGCAGTATAATTAGTTGGACTATTATATAAATGTTTACCATGTAATATATGTTTACAAGGTAATATTTTTTACCAGTCAAGTAATAATTATATTTTAAGCAGGTAATATATATTTATGAGGTAATCTATGTTTACCAGGAAATATAAATCCGATTATATGTGTTTACCTGACAATATATTTTTACTAGGTAATAATTATATTTTTAGCAGGTAACATATATTTATGAGGCATATTGTTTAAAGGAAATATTAGTTAACAAGGTTATATATTTACCAGGTAAAATATTGTTTGCAATGAATAGTATTTTATATGTTAACCATTCAATATAAATTATGTTTACCAGGTAATGGAGCTGTATGGCATGGTTACGCAGATATACTTGTCAAAAGAAGTGTAGTCAATATTGAAACTAAAGATGATAAAGAAGATGGAAGTGGTGAATCAGAGGATGTTAATGGAGGACCATTGCGAAAGAAAGTGAAAACTGAGAACATTTCAGATGATGAAAGCTCAAGTTCAGATGAAAGTACTGTCTCTGATAGTGGTGTGGATGTGAAAAAAGACACAATAGGTTGTCGCGCTGTGAACGCGTTTTCAGACGTGAACAAGAATTCAGAGTTGTCCAGTTCCTTCATATCTTCATTTATTGCCACATATAAAGTTATTAGAATAACTATGTACAACTGTGGGTCGGATCGTCTGATTATGTCCCATGATTTGAATCTCTTCATATCAGATGGAAACAAATTTATGTTAAATATTTCGACTATTTTGTGTGTATGGTTTGCCTTGAATTTTGAAAATTATTTGGACAAAGTTGATGAAAATGACGAGCTGTTCCAACAGTTTGAGAGTCTATACAAAAAGACAAATTTCAAAGAACTGGCAGCGAAAATGTATGAGATATACAATGAAAAGTGTACGAAACCTATGACAAAAACAAAAAGGGATCAAAAAGTTGAATTTAAGATATCAAGTAAATGTTTTAGAGGTCCTATAAACTCTTTGATAAATCAGTCAATGTCATCATTAGAAAATTTTAAAAATCAAATTTAGCAGAAGTATGATCATATTGTTACTTGGTTGGTTGTTCATTGATCATGTTGAACCATTTTTATGTCGCCTCTACGGAGTAGTGGCGACATATAGGGATCACTTCTCCCTCGTCTGTCTGTCCGTCTGTCTGTCTGTCCGTCTATATTTTCGTCCGCCACAAAACTTGTTCGGGTTACTCCTCATAAACTACTTGTGCAATTTCATCCAAACTTTCCAGGAATGATCAGTACAAAGTCTAGTTGTGCATATTGTCAGCATTTTTCGGTTCAATGATTTTTTTATGGCCCTTTAATAATTTTTATTTCTAAAGTGTTTCCGGACTACTTCTCTTATACCACTAATGCAATTTCAATGAAACTTTACAGGATTGATCTGTAGCTCAAGTCCTTGGGCATATTGCACAGGTTTTCTAGTTGAATGATTTTTGGCTGAGTTATGGCCCTTTGATAAAAAGCTGTTTTTTCTGTGTGTTGCCAAATACACAAAAGCTTGTCCGGACTACTCCTCATAAACTACTGGTGCAATTTTATCCAAACTTTACAGGAATGATCAGTACCAAGTCTAGTTGTGCACTGTTTGTCTGTCTGTCCATCTGTCTGTCACAAAACTTGTCCCAACATGAAATTGGCCATCATTAGGCGACACATGTGATCACTGATCGTTTTGTATTGATCATCATTGCTCTTTTTTGGCTCACCTGATTTAAGAAGTTTCCTACTTTTCTTCGTCTTTATTTCTTCAAACAATGACTCAAAGTTGAAGGTACTTCACAGGAATGATTATTTTTGTGGTTCTTTACAAAATTTGAAAAACACTGCTATTCCTTATTCCATGCAGAGCTCTGGTTTCTTTCGCAGGAAAAATACTATGTTGATGTTTTGTAATGAATTTGGGAAGACAGACGCAGATTCTTAAAACATGCACATGTATAAGCAAATAAGTCCCAGAAACAAAAGAAGATCAAACAAAAAAACAATGGTTTTTGTATATGTTAAATATTGTATGATTGGCATATATTTAATAATTGATTAAAGTAATTTGCCTTGTTAAAATGACATTTTGTTTATTTTTAGCTTCATTTTTTTCTTCAAAGGTATTGTTACAACCATTATGGCATTGCCGTTGCTGTCCGCAAGCTTTAACCTTAATCATAACTTCAAAGTTCTTTTGTGTTTTGTCTTTATACTTGACCTCAACAAATCTTGGTTCAAGACCTTCAAGTAGATTAGACTAAACTTGACCTTCATTAATAAATGAACTTGACCTTTAAGGTCAATGTCTAAATTTTGTTTGTTTTTTGCTGATTTTTGCTTGTAGTGGCTATAACTTTGTATTTTTGAAATGGAATGTCTTCAAACTTGAACACAACAATATTTTTGGATATACCTTCAAGTTAACTAGAAAGACCATGATCTTCACCCATAAATTACCTTGAACTTACAGGTCAAATTATTGAAATTTTCTATCCAGCTAGCTTACAGAACGTTGGCGGTTCTACTCAGGTGCCAGTTCGTGACTGAAATAATGCACAGCAGAGCACTTGAGGTATTCCTACTCCTGCAAAGCTAGAACGTTGCCAAATGACCTATATTGTGCCGGTGTGACATAAAACCCAATCAAACAAACAATCAAATATTGAAATTTTGGTTATATTGTCATAATTTTGGTATTTATGGACATATTTGATTTATACTTGGACAAAACCATTTTCCAAACAAACATATTGAATAATTCAGATGTTACTTTGACCTTTAATTGACACTGGGCGTAAAGGTCAAATTAATGAAATTCTCTTATTTAGAGATTTGGATTATGTGCACTGTTTTGGATGTAGTATAGAACTTTGTTTTTATCAGCTTACCTAGATTTTGATAGGTAACCTACTTTGAACTTTGAAATCAGATGACCTTTTTTTAAAGATTTGTTAAAACCTTTTATTTATTGTTTTTAGAAAAGGCAAAAAAGTCGAGTGTTGCACCTCCTAGTGGTGGCTCTTGGTTATTTTTTAAATTGATGAATTGAAACATTTTCAATGAGCAATGTTTCTCTAGTGAGCGATCCAGGGCCACAACGACCCTTTTGTTTTTAGTTACCAAGACTGCAGTAGCCTTTATTGTTTAAAATAAATACACAGATCTAGCTTCAGAAGTAAGCCTGTCATTTATATTTACATATTTATTTACATGAAGCACGCATTCATAAGTCATGACTTAACTAGATACAAGTAACAATGCCGAAGCGTCCAGAAATGCGCGGAAGCCTTTTAGTATTGCAAGTCTGTGATTGGTCAATATTCATCCAGCTATATATGGATTGTTGTTTCATTGGTTCGTTTAAAATCTGACGCTCTCATCAATCTCTATCCGCCATACTCATCAAGGCTGTGTCAGAAAAACGCCCACAATGCTTGTCCTCTTGTTTCAGACGACTTTCACACCCACCTTTCGTACACGTTTTGCATTTTTCGAAAAGACAAGTACGAAAGTTCCTATTAAAAATCACATAAATGTAAAAGTTGCACTGGAACGAAATCATCAGTGCTAATTCATATGACATATGAAACATTCTGTTCGTTTTTAAGTCAATGTTCTTTCCGTTGTTAACAGATTTATCTATTCCGTTATAAAGTAGGAAGATGCAATACGGGATTTCTGGTAGCAGCCGACAAATCACAATTGCTGTGACGACAAAAGATATACGTCGATTGTCTTTTATTCTTGTCATAATTTGCTTCCTGCAACTTGACATTTTCACGAACTGTCGTCCTTCTTTTCGTAATTTGCATATAAACATGACAGTAAATAAAATAAGCGCTAAGCATGGTATGAAATGCCGAATAACGAACGCTGCCCATAGATAGATACAATCTGCGCTACATTGGGTATCGGTCATTTCCCATTGGCACATGCCGTTCGTGGCTCTCTCTCCAAATAAATGGTACGAGTGCAATGCCGGTGTAAGCACAAATATCACCACGCAATAAATCACCGTTCTTTTAAAACTGAAAGTCATCTCGGTTGTAAACGGGTTAGCTATTGAACTGTACCTTTGTATTCCAAGGAAAAGCGTCAAATACATTGATATAGTATGAAATGAGCTGGACAAGAAAAACTTTGTGACCATAAAGCAACGGCAAAGATTTTTCGACAGTGTATAACCTTCAATAGGAGCCATATTATATGTTTCGTAATATTGCGTTGTATTTGCTATAGTGAGTGTGACAAAGTCAGTCATTTCTGTATCTTTTATCTCCGCTTGATTATCATGCCCATCAAACTGATCATAGTGAATGTCATAAGACATTAATGTTTCTGGGGTAAGTGCGGACTCGTGTTCTTGGAAAACCAGGATATATGCCGGCAAGGTAACGAGCCCGGTCAGAGAATCCGAAATAGCGATGGCAGATAGTATTAGCATCGTTGGACTGAGCATTTTCATTCGGATAAATACAGATAACACGATGAAGTTCAAAATGAATGTTATGATGACTAGAATCTCCCAAATGAACAAGTAGAACGGCCGTTCAAATGGATATCCTGGGTACATATACTCGTCATATTCGTAGATATAGTCGGATGTTAGAACACTTCCAGCTGTTGTTGTAAATTTCTCCGTGAGCCGAAGACCATCCGTGCTGTGTAAAGTTCCGCTCATCTCTGAGATTTCGTTGTTTTTGTAGAATGTAAACTCGACCTGCAATGATAGATTTTTTTTGTATTCAAAAAACGACTAAGAATGATAATTTTACCTTTGCAGAGAACACTCGTTGTGCGGCGGCCGAAAAAAATAACACCATTGTTCTCCAAAGCGGTTTTTAGCTCGCCTTTTTTTTTGAAAAAAAGATAAACAGCCTACTAACAGTGACATCATGTTGTGTTTAAACGGTATTTGTAAAAGGTTAGATTCAGTGGAGAAAAAACTTTGTGCATTAGACCATCTCGAAAAACAGGTATCAGGATTTGAAAAAGAACTAAAAAGTATTTGGTTAGCTATTGATGAAAGAGCAAAGAAAGTAGAAGAACGTGTGTTAAGTTTAGAGGATAAAATGGAAAATACAGACATAAGTTCAGCTTTACTTGCTAACAAAGTCGATGAATTAGAAAAAGCTCGTGACGTTGCCCGTGATGAAGTAACATACCTTAAGTCGCAATCTATGCGCAATAACCTCATATTTACGAATATACCGGAGGACAATTCAAGTGGAAATGAATCACAGGAAGTTACCGAGCAAAAGTTAAGGAATCATCTTCACGAGGCCCTGAAGATCTCGAAGGAAGCCGTTAACGGAATCCGATTTGAACGTGTACACCGATCACCAGGTCATATATTACCAGGAAAAAAGAGGTCAGTTGTGGCCAAATTCACGTATTTCAAAGACCGGGAACAGTTGCGCAGACAATGGAAAAATTTACAGGGAACGGATTTTCAAATGTACGAACAATTCCCACAGGAAGTGATTTCTAAAAGGAGAAAACTGGTCCCCAAATTAAAAGCAGCTCGAGATGAAGGGAAAAGAGCATGGATAGCGTACGATACGCTATTTATAGACGGACGACCGATCAAAGATTAGGGGTGCGACGGAGATGAACTTTCGATACTTTCATGGAATGTCCACGGACTTACTAATGATAAGAAAGTAAATAAAGATTTTGTTAATATTATAAGTAAACATGATATTTGTTTCTTATATGAATCATGGACAAATTCTCAAAGTAATATTTCTATTAATGGTTACGTCACTCATAACTTTTTTCGAAAGTTTCAAAATAAGAATGCGCGCAGATGCAGTGGCGGAATAGTGCTTTATTATAAAGAACACTTAAAAGAAGGAATTCAAGTTGTTCAGAATCATTTTGATACAATTATATGGTTGAAATTAGATCGTACTTTATTTAATGTTGATGAAGATATATATTTATGTGGTGTGTATATTTGGGGTGAAAATTCACCTGTATATAATACTTTTAATACCGACTTATTTGAAACATTAGAAAATGATGTATTTACTTATGAAAGTCTTGGTTCTATATATCTTTTTGGTGACTTTAACAGTAGGGTAGGCAATAAAAATGATTTCATTGTACATGATAAAGTAAACAAAAACATTGATGACATAGATTATGAACCCGATAGTACCTCATGCAGGGCCACAATAGATAGTAAACATAACAATTATGGTATTAAACTGTTAGATCTTTGTAAATCATCATGTTTACGTATTATTAATGGCCGTATCGGGAACACGAACACTTATACTTTTTTTATCTCATAACGGTTTATCTGTGATAGACTATGTATTATGCAACGAACGCAATTTTTCATTGATCAGTGATTTTACTATACATCCATTTAATGAATGGAGTGATCATTCCCCGTTGACCTTGTCACTTGTATGTAATAATACGCACGATAATAATGCAGGTCATTCTGAGATTAAATTTAAGTGGGACAATGATTTCAGGCAACAATTTCGTTCTGGCATAATTGTAAATTTACCTGTTTTTAATACTATTGTTAATACATTAGATTGTAATAGTAGACAGTCTGTTAATGATGCATTGAATAAATTTACAGATACAATGCGGAATATTGCAGATCCTCTTTTTTCTTATAATTTGCAATATAGAAATGTTCATTATTATGACGCAGAAAAATATATGAAGCACACAGAATGGTTTGATAAGGATTGTATCGATGCACGAAACGTATATTTAGAATCGTTAAAATCATTTAATTGTTGTAAAACGGATGAAAATAGAGCAATTTTGTGTAATCATAAATCTGCTTATAAATCTGTTATTACAAAGAAGAAAAATATGTTCTATAGAAACAAAATGCAAGAAATAGAAAATTTGAAAAAGAGTAAGCCGAAAGATTTTTGGAAATTTTTTAAAAAACAAACAGGAAAGGTTGATAATAAAATAACTTTAGAACAATTTAGAGAATATTTTTCTAGTTAATGATTTTTTTGAGTGTTACAACACTGAAGCTGAGGGATTTTGTGAAAATAATGATTTTACAAATACTAATGACATCTTTCCTGAATTAGACGAGCCTATTACTTGTTCTGAAATTTTATCGGCTGTTAAATCACTGAAGCGTAATAAAGCCTATGGTAATGATTGTTTATTGAACGAATATTTTATAGAAAGTATTGATATTTTATCGTCTCATATTTGTGACTTATTTAATTGTATTTTAAACTCGGGCTGTTTTCCTGATAAATGGACCGATTATATAGGTATAATTATCCCTCTGCATAAAAAAGGGAATCAAAATGACGTTAATAATTACAGAGGCATTACACTTGTAAGTTGCTTGTCAAAATTATTTACTACAGTTATAAATAGACGAATCGAAATTTTTTGTAATGAACACAACACTATTTCTGATGCACAGTTTGGATTTCGTAAGGGAAGATCCACTGTAGACGCTATTTTTATTCTTAATTCATTGGTTCAGAAATTTTTAAATGATAATAAAAGATTGTATGTTATATTTGTCGATATGATGAAATGCTTTGACTCTGTTTATAGAAATGGCCTTTGGTTTAAATTGTACAATTGCGGAATTCAAGGGAAGTTACTCAGTATAATACGTGATATGTATCAAAAAGTAAAATCTTGTGTTAAGTCGTGTTCTAGCTATTCTGATTATTTTCTGTATGCTGTAGGTCTTCGTCAAGGGGAAGTTATGTCCCCTCTTTTATTTTCTCTTTTTGTTGAAGACCTTGAATTATATCTTCAGTCTGAAACTGAAGCAGGTCTTACTTTAGATGACATAGTTTTAATTCTTTTATTATTTGCTGACGATATGGCTATCATAGGTAAAAACCCAGATGAAATACAAACTCTTTTGAATCTCTTATTGTCTTATTGTAATACTTGGGGCCTTAAAGTTAATACCTCAAAAACAAAAATTATGGTATTTCGTAAAAGGGGTGCACTTTTAGCATCTGAGCATTGGACCTATGATGGCCAAGAAATCGAAGCTGTTAATGATTTCAATTATCTAGGTACTATTTTTAACTATACTGGTAAATTTATTCTAAATCAAGAACATTTAATTGGAAAAGCTTTAAAATCAATGAACATACTGTTATGTAAATGTAAAGAGTTTGATCTTAGTCCAAAAACATTATGTCAGTTGTTTGATGCCTTCGTTTCACCAATATTAAATTATTCATGTGAAATTTGGGGTTATTCTAAATCTAAGGAAATTGAAAGAATACATTTAAAATTTTGTAAAAGGTTGTTAAAAGTTAGATTAAATACATGTAATACTAGTGTATATGGTGAACTTGGAAGATATCCATTATATATTCATAGATATGTAAGAATTATTAAATTCTGGTTAAAACTTGTAAATACAGACAATATAATATTAAAAACAGTTTATACTCAAGCACTTGAAGATAGCAATAAGGGGCAGACAAATTGGGTTTCTAATGTTAAAAATATTTTAAATAACTATGGATTTTCATACATTTTTGATAATTGTAACAATATAGACAAGGTTATGTTTTTATCAGAATTTAAATGTCGCCTTATTGATTCCTTCAAGCAAGAATGGTTCAGTAATCTTGAAAAAAGTCCTGTTTTATGTATATATAGAAATGTTAAATCTTGTTTTGAATATGAATGTTATCTTAATATACTACCTAGGTGTTTTAGATTTTATTTTTGTAGATTAAGAATGAATGGTCTTCCGCTTAGAATTCAAACAGGTAGATTTAGTAGAAATAGGATTCCTCGCGAAGAAAGATATTGTTTGTGTTGCAATAATTTAGATATTGAAGATGAATACCATTTTATTTGTATATGTAAATGCTATGACGTTATAAGAAAACAACACTTAAAAACTTACTATTACAGAAATCCATCAGTATACAAATTTACTCAACTGTTAAACTCAAAAAATAAAAATGAGCTTGTACATTTATCAAAATTTGTTAAAGAAGCTCTTTCCATTAGGTATACACTTTTAACTAATAATGTCTGAATTGAATCAATGTTCATTCTCCAAATGATTTGTTTCCATTCCAAAAATATTCATAATTAATCTTATTTATTTATAAAAGTATACAGTAAATGCACATCTTTTTTCATAGCTATATGCATGTTGTTTGTTTGTTTATTAGTTTATCTACTTATATTTTATTATGAAACTATTGAATACGTAAAATGCGATATCCAGATTATGTTTGTAAATTTTCATGCAGCAAAAATATATGTGAATATAATGTATTGTAGATGATGTACTTTGTACAAGTCTTAATAAAATTTCTGTTCTGTTCTGTTCTGTTCTGTTATTTATATAATGATCTAGCTTCCTCAGAATATCAGACAGTAATAAACCTATCTAAATATGGCACAATAAAATATACAAGTATTCTAACAAAATCCGTAATTCATTCCAATTCATTTTACTTACCAATTAAATACACGTATAAGTAATATCCATACAGAATATATTATGGCATTCCATTAATTAATCTCAACTCCTTGCTATTTGTTTATCAGCTATTCAAAGAAACTTTTTTTATTTTACATAATACACAAAATCATTAGCCATAAACAAAATCACAAATTCGTAAATATCAATAGAAAACAATGACGTTTCAATTTTCCCCTACTTAAAACATTTAACATATTACACTTTTATTACAACGGCAGCAATGAGGCAAAATTAAATGAATGTTTAAACAGGTAAACATTTATGGATTTACGTGTAATGTAAAAACTGCACTGCACAAAAGGATTTCTATGACTCATAAAGTCATAATGATAAATCAAAACTTGAATATATTAGATATAGTACATTTAATCATTCTGCAAAAAAAAATCTCATGATGTGAAATAATTAAAAGGTACAAAAAAGCTTTTCCAAAATGTTCTGTGTTCTAAACTTTTAGCAATTAAGATATTTCCAGTAATTTTAAAACCAGTCTTAATTAAAACCTATGTATTTCAGACTGACTTTGATGAGCATTCCCAGCTTATTATAAGACTGCTCTCAAGTTCATTTCCTGGCATAAACCAGTACTGGTGCCATATAAGGAAACATGTAGAGCTTGACCTCACAAACACTGGGTTGAGAGATCAATACCTTTATATAAGGCCATTTATCACCAGTGCCATTAAATAACATTGTAATGTTCAAATGCCAGCTATGATATGATATAGTTTAGTTCCAATTCCCAGCTATTATGTGACATTGTAGGGTTCAAATCCCCAGCTATTATGTGATAAAGTGTGTTCAAACCCTGAGCTATTATATGATATAGTACAGTTTAAAACCCCAGTTATAATGTGATATAGTACAATTTAAAACCCAAGCTATCATGTGATATAGTACAATTTAAAACCCAAGCTATCATGTGATATAGTACAGTTTAAAACCCCAGCTATTATACAAATATGGACATTTTAGCTGTTGAATATGATGTGATATAATATTGACACAGACAAAAAAAGGAGAATTAAACGTAATATCTATCTATTCTTGCAATAAAATCACCAAATAAATATTGACAATCAACTCACAAAGTGCAATACAACCCAATAAAAGAATGTAATTTCAAAAGAGCAAACCTCTGAAAAAGCAAACATACACCCGAATTATATCCGAAGACACTTAACGATTTTCCCTTTTTTTCCCCCTCTTCTCGGTAGATTATTGAAACGAGAGCTTAACGACAGAACAAAGTTCAGGTAGGCTAGCTATATGAGTAAATTACGCCACATAACTTTGACGACAGTTTCAACATTTTCTATTAATTTCTTGCAACCAGACAAATTTATATGAAGTACATGGACCGGAAGTTATTGGGTCATCAATAGGGCTTAATTAAACATTCAAACACTTGAGTAAGGCGTATTAAGCAAACTTCTTAAGTATGTTCTAATGGATGTCTACCAACTTTGTTCAAATAAGAGCCCTGGGGTCAAAATTGGCCCCGCTTCGGGGGTCAATCATTTTCCTTATATGTTTATAACAAAAACTTAAAAGATCTTTTTTGAAAAAAAAATAGCTAGAGTTTAGATACTAAACATGAAACATCTTCTAGTGAGTCTCTACCAAGTTTGTTCAAATAAAGCCCTGGGGTCAAAACTGGCCCCGCCCCGGGGGTCATTCATTTTCCTTATATGTGTATGACAAAAACTTACAAAATCTTCTTTGAAAAAAATCAAATAGCTAGAGTTTAGATATTAAGCACGAAGCATCTTCTAGTGAGTGTCTACAAAGTTTGTTCAAATAAAAGCCCTGGGGTCAAAATTGGCCCCGTCCCAGGGGACATTGATTTTCCTTATATGTGTATAGCAAAAACTTAAAAATCTTCTTTGAAAAAACCTGAATAGCTAGAGTTCAGATATTAAGCATGAAACATTGTCTAGTAAGTGTCTACAAAGATTGTTCAAATAAAAGCCCTGGGGTCAAAACTGGCCCTGCCCCAGGTGTGTCATTGTTTTTAACTATATGTGTAAAGAAAAAAAACTTGAAAAAATCTTCTTTTAAAAAACCCAACAAGCTAAACCTTAGATGTTTAGCATGAAACATCTTCTAATGGGTGTCTACCAAGTTTGTTCAAATAAAAGCCCTGGGGTTTAAACTGGCCCCGCTCCGGGGGCCTATATACAGGTGAGCGACTTTAGGGCCATCATGGCCCTCTTGTTACATAATTATGCCCCTTTTTGACTGAAATTCTTGGTTAAGTTTTGCGTGTAAGCTGGTATCTCCATAACTACTGAAGGGAATGGATTGAAACTTCACACACTTGTTCTCTGTGATTATCTAAGATGACTTGGCACAAGTCCAATAATATGCTTTTTTGCATAATTATGCCCCTTTTTCGACTTAGAAATTCTAAGTAAATTTTTGCTTGTAAGCTGGCATCTCCATAACTACTGAAGGGTTTGTACATTTTCGGACAATTTTATGTATTCATATAGGTAAGCATTATTATACTCAATGAAACACCCTTGTGACAACTTTTCAAATAGTCGAGCGTTGCTGTCCTCCGACAGTTCTTGTTATTATTATTATTATTATTATTATTATTATTATTATTATTATTATTATTATTATTATTATTATTATAGTCTTTAATTTCAGGTTCATTGATTTCAGTAATATTTTTGGGGATTTTATCTTTATACCACTTTTAGAAGGCAGTGCTATTGAGCACAGAGAAGTTGTATAATCATCATTTCTCCTGCATGGACAGACTCAATGAAATTGAACCTGCTATAATAAACTTGTTTGTATTACTAGTGCGTGTGAGTGAGCACCCGGCCTTTCCCTGTTATCAAAAAAACAGTATGTACGTACTAAAACGAAAAAGGAACTTAAGGCTTTTATTTTATTTACGCGGTATTTTTTCACAAAATATTGTTTTAAAAACACTTAATTAGATCGAGCTATTTTCAATTATCAATTAAAAAATATTATTTATTAGAAGAACAACATCTTAACATTTTAAGTGTTTGAAATTATTTTTGTCCAATAGAATTGCAATATTTCAAAGGAATACTAATACAAACTGGCTAAATTTAATCAGTCTAGTTAATCGACAGTTTTATAAAAAAATATTTTCAAACACTTATTAAAATTGGTTGCGCCGTTCTTGACCAATTTAATTTTGTAAATGCTTATTACATTGTAATTAACACTAACATATACGTACAGATTAAAATGTACAAGTTTTTAACGTAAATTCATTTCCAAAATATTATTTCCGAATAAAGTTTATAAATCTCGATGTACATACCTCCGTATCATAGTCCCTTCCCAGACACGATACAAGTAAAATGGTTTCCTGCGGTGAACATTTTAATGATATTAAGATATTTCATTTAACTATTTTCAACATTATTTGGGGGGGGAGGAGATAAATAAACGTTCGTATCAGGAATATAGTTGACAATAATCGATCAATATAGAAGAAGGTCTTTGGAAACTGGTGACCGTTTAAGACCGGAGAAGGTCGAACATAAAACAATTATTTCTTTTTAAGAAAATGATTAAATAGGCCTACCATTTTATGAATAATTCCGAGCAGAAAGTAAATAAAGTAAACACACAAGTTTACGCAGAAAATATCTCTATTTATGATGGCAGATGCCACTACGAATATTTTAATTTTGTAGATTTTCAGTTTAAACAATTTATTGTTTGTAAAATTTGACATAGATATTAAAGAAACATTGATAATTTTCAAACACATCATTCAAGTTTTTCCACCTTAAACGGTAAAATAATTATAGAAAATTAGAAATATCACGTAATAATTTTTTGTTCTCAATTAGGTATAATTCGGACTAATTCCCTACAGGTAAATCCGTAACGTACCGGTAAACGGTATTTAGCTGGGTTTTCGAAAAGGTCAGTTAACCAATCATATACGGTTTACAGATCACATGCTCCTCCATGTACCGAAAACAGGTCACGTGCTCCTCCATGCCTCAAAAGTTAAACGCGTACCAATACCCTGCGGTCTCCAGACCGCAGGGAATGAGGTCTGTTTCACGTGAAACTCAATGATATATATTCTTATCTGTTGTAAACTTTAAATAACATTTACAATAACAGAATAAAAAGGGATCGTGAAGTTGAATTTAGGATATCGAGTGAATGTTTTAGAGGTCCTATAAACTCTTTAATAAATCAGTCAATGTCATCATTAGAAAATTTTAAAAATCAAATTTATCAGAAGTAATTTTGATCATGTGGTTGCTTGGTTGTTCAGTACACTAATCACTTTGTCAATTGATCATGTTGAACCATTTTATTGACCATCATTCTTCATTTTTGGCTCACCTGAGTTTGCTACTTTTCTCTGTCTTTATTTCTTCAAACAACTACTCTTTTTAAATTACTCTGTCAGAGTTGAAGGTGCTTCACAGGAATGATTATCTTAGTGGTGTGTCACAAAAGTTGAAAAACACTTCTATTCCTTATTCCATGCAGTGCTCTGGTTTCTTTGGCAGGAAAAATACCATGTTGATATTTTGTTTAGAATTTGGGGAGACAGACAGACGCAGATACATGTATAAGTAAATAAGTCCCAGAAACAAAAGAAAAACAAACAAAAAACGCATCAGTTTTGTATATGTTTACGTCATTGCAGTTGTATGATTGACATATATTTAATAATTGATTAAAGTAATTTGCCTTGTTAAAATGACATTTTGTTTCTTTCTACAAAAAGAAGCTTAAATTTGTTTCTTCGAAGGTATTGTAACACAATCATTGTGGCATTGCCGTTGCCATCTGCAAACTTTAACCTTGATCATAACTTCAAAGTTCTTTTGTGTATTGTCTTTATACTTGACGTCAACAACCCTTGGTAAAATAACTTCAAGTAGGTCAGACCAAACTTGACCTTCATTAACAAAAGACCTTGACCTTTAAGATCTATGTCGAAATTTTGTTTGTTTTTTGCTGATTTTTGCTTGTAGTGGCTGTATTTTTGAAATGGAATGTCTTCAAACTTGAACACAACAATATTCTTGGATATACCTTCAAGTTATTTAACTAGACAGACCATGATCTTCACCCAATTAATGACATTGAACTTGAAGGTCAAATGATTGTAATTTTCTATCCCGCTAGCTTACAGAACGTCGATGGTTCTACTCAGGTGCCCGTGACTGAAATAATGCACAGCAGGGCACCTGAGGGTTTCCTCCACCAGCTGGAACGTCGCCATATGACCTATACTGTGTCGGTGTGACATAAAACCCAGTCAAACAAACAATCAAATATTAAAATTTTGGTTAAAATGTCATAATTTTGGTATTTATGGACATATTTGATTTTTACTTGGACAAAACCACTTTCCAAACAAACATTGAATAATTCAGATGTTACCTTGACCTTTAATTGACATTGAGCGTAACGGTCAAATTAATAAAATTCTCTTCTTTAGAGATTTGGACTATGCACTGTTTTGGATGTACAATAGAACTTTGTTTTATCAGCTGACCTAGATTTTGATAAACCTAACTTGAACTTTGAAATCAGTTGACCTTTTTTTTATTTTTAAAGATTTGTTTAAACATTTTATTTATTGCTTTTTAGAAAAGGCAAAAAAGTCGAGTGTTAACTTGCCTCTCCTAGCGATGGTTCTTGGTTACTTTTTTAAATTGATGAATTGAAACCTTTTCTAGCAATGTTTCTCAGGTGAGCGATCCAGGGCCAAAATGACCCTTTTGATTTTAGTTATCAAGACTGCAGTAGCCTTTATTGTTTAAAACAAATACACATAGCTTCAGAAATAAGCCTGTCATTTATATTTACTTATTTATTTACATGAAGCACGCATTCATAAATCATGACTTAACTAGATACAAGTAACAATGCCGAAGCGTCCATAATTGCGCGGAGGCCTTTAAGTATTGCAATTCCGTGATTGGTCAATATTCACCCAGCTATATATGGATTGTTGTTTCATTGGTTCGTTTAAAATCAGACGCTCTCGTCAATCTCTATCCGCGATACTTGTCAAGGCTGTGTCAGAAAAACGCCCACAATGCTTGCCCTCTTGTTTCAGACGACTTTCACACCCATCTTTCGTACACGTTTTGCATTTTCCGAAAAGACAACTTCGAAAGTTCCTATTAAAAATCACATATATGTAAAAGTTACACTGGAACGAAATCATCAGTGCTAATTCATAAGACATATGAAACATTCTGTTCGTTTTTAAGTGAATGTTCTTCCCGTTGTTAACAGATTTATCTATTCCGTTATATAGGAGGAAGATACAATACGGGATTTCTGGTAGCAGACGACAAATCACAATTGCTGTGACGACGAAAGATATACGTCGATTATCTTTTATTCTTGTCATAATTTGCCTCTTGCAACTTGACATTTTCACGAACTGTCGTCCGACTTTTCGTAATTTGCATATAAACATGACAGTAAAGAAAATAAGCGCCAAACATGGTATGAAATGCCGAATAACGAACGCTGCCCATAGATAGATACAATCTGCGCTACATTGGGTATCGGTTATTTCCCATTGGCACATGCCGTTAGTGGCTCTCTCTCCAAATAAATGGTACGAGTGCAATGCCGGTGTAAGCACAAATATCACCACGCAATAAATCACCGTTCTTTTAAAACTGAAAGTCATCTCGTTTGTAAACGGGTTAGCTATTGAACTGTACCTTTGTATTCCAAGGAAAAGCGTCAAATACATTGATATAGTATGAAATGAGCTGGACAAGAAAAACTTTGTGACCATAAAGCAACGGCAAAGATTTTTCGACAGTGTATATCCTTCAATAGGAGCCATAGTATATGTTTCGTAATATTGCGTTGTATTTGCTATAGTGAGTGTGACAAAGTCAGTCATTTCTACATCTTTTATCTCCGCTTGATTATCATGCCCATCAAACTGATCATAATGAATGTCATAAGTCATTAATGTTTCTGGGGTAAGTGCGGACTCATGTTCTTGGAAAACCAGGATATATGCCGGCAAGGTCACGAGTCCGGTCAGAGAATCCGAAATAGCGATGGCAGATAGTATGACCATCGTTGGACTGAGCATTTTCCTTCGGATAAACACTGATAGCACGATGAAGTTCAAAATGAATGTTATGATGACTAGAATCTCCCAAATGAACAAGTAGAACGGCCGTTCAAATGGATATCCTGGGTACATATACTCGTCATATTCGTAATTATAGTAGATATAGTCGGATGTTAGAACACTTCCAACTGTTGTAGATTTCTCCGTTAATCGAAGAGTATCCGTGCTTTGTAAAATGCCGCTCATCTCTCAGAATTCGTTGCTTTTGTAGAATGTAAACTCGACCTGCAATGATAGATTTTTTTTCGTATTCAAAAAATGACTAAGAATGATATTTTACCTTTGCAGAGAACACTTGTTGTGCGGCGGCCGTTAAAGTCACCCACCACTGTTTCTAATATTGTGATTCAAAGCGTTTTTTTTTCAGTTGGTTTATTTGATTAGCCATTATCAATTCTCTTCGATCTATGTCATGAAGGCTAAAATAATATGAGATGTTTTATCTCACAACAGCAGGTGCTAAAAGGTTTGTGGCAGTTGAAAATGATTCACCAAACTTCATCTCAGTGCTGATGTTAGAGATATCATCATCATCATAATCATTTATTTATCATCATCATTATTATTATCATCATCATTATTATTATCATCATCATCATCATCATCATTATCATTATAATTATTATTATTATAGTCCTTTAGGTTATTATTTTTATAAGTAGTATTATCATTATCATTATTATTATTATTATTATAGTCCTTTAGGTTCATTGATTTCAATATTACTTTTGAGGATTTTATACCACTTTTATAAAAGCCAATGCTAGTGAGCACGAGTGAGTTTGAATATTTCATCATCTCTCCTTGATGGACAGACTCGATCAAATTGAACCTACTGTAATCAACTTTTTGTTTTTTATTATCAGCGCGTGGGAGTGAGCACCCGGCCCTTCCCTGTTATCAAAGAACATTGTGAACGAAAAATGAACTGAAGGCTTTTATTTTATTTACGCGGTATTTATTCACGAAATACTGTTTTAAAAACACTTAATTAGATAGTGCTATTTTCATTTATCAATTAAGAATTATTATTAATTAGAAGAACAACATCTTAACATTTTAAGTGTTTGAACTTATTTTTTAACCAGTGGAATTGCAATATTTAATTTCGTAAATGTTTATTACATTGTAATATACACTAACCTAAACGTAAAGATTAAAATGTACAAGTTTTAACGTGAATTCATTTCCAAGATATTATTCCGAATAAAGTTTATAAATGTTGATGTACATACCTCCCTATCTTAGTCCCTTCCCAGACACTGAATGAGGTCTGTCTCACGTGAAACTCAATGATATATCTTCTTGTCTGTTGTAAAATTTAAATAACATTAACAATAATGGAATGTAATATCCAAATGGTGACAAGAAAATTGTCCCAGTTTACGTTGTTTTTATCTTTAGCATTTGGAAAAGCGATGAGGCAAAAATTTCCTAAATAATATGCTTATTATTGTTGAATTCAGGCTGAAAATTATTATAATGAGCGGTTTATTGTTTCATGAAATGCATTTTTTTGTATATTAAACGCATTAGATATATAATTTCAAATTATCGCACGGACATTTTTTCATGTGAAACTGCACGTACTGTCCTTGTTTAAAATATATTATGTCCTAGTTTAATATTTGTAAATTACAAGTGTAATGACACATGACTTCTTGAATTTTATTGTAGTGTATATTATACGGAATATTCTGTTGTAGTAGCTTTCTGAGGCTTTGTATTTTGCTACGAGTAGCGTTGGAAAATCAGAACTATAAACAATTCCGGGTTTTAATGGACAATTGCCTGACAAAAGTTTTATGATACCAATTTATGGCACTTAAAATCTACCAATAAAATGTCTTATTTTGTGAAAATAAGTTGACAAAAAAATACACAATTTAAGCATTTATAAAGATGAACGAAAGTCGTGGAGTTTCTGGGGATCATAAATGTCATGCGGGAATCTCGGCGCCATAAATGTCATGCGGGAATCTCTGCGCCATAAATGTCATGCGTGTATCTCGGCGCCATAAATGTCATGCGGGAATCTCGGCGCCATAAATGTCATGCGTGTATCTCGGCGCCATAAATGTCATGCGGGAATCTCGGCGCCATAAATGTCATGCGTGTATCTCGGCGCCATAAATGTCATGCGGGAATCTCGGCCCTATAAATGTCATGCGGGAATCTCGGTGCAAATTCCTTTGGGTTAAAGCTTTGTGCCTTATATCGTTATGTATAAGAACTCCAAACCAATGCAATTGCTAATCCGCAATGAAATCAGACAAATTGTGTTTGCACGGCTGGCACAAGAAAAAAAATTACTTGTTTATTTTTACGAAATTTCATACACTTAATATACAAAAAGAACAAATAGCAGGTCCAGGAAAAACGACCATGTCACACGGGCCTTTTCGGGCTATTTTCCTTGGGTTAAAACTTTGCCTTATATTGCTGTAAAGGAGAATCTCCAAATTCATGAGCTGGGTAAACCTAAAAGGAATAAGATAAATAGCGTGTTAATGCGAAAATTCATACACTTTATATACAAAAATCGACCCTAGCATGCTGCCCTTTTGGCGCAAGTTCTCTTTAGTTAAAGCTTTGTGACATATATTGCTATAAAGAAGAACTACAAATTAATGCAAGGGCTAATCCGCAACGAAAATCAGACAAATTGTGTTTGAACGGCACCCACAAGAAAATAAATGTTTTAGGTTGTTTTTATTTTTTTACGAAATTCATGCATGCGGGCACTTAACGTTGTTTCAACGTTGAAATATGGTCGTGACGTTGTTCAACCAATATTCAACTATGAAGGACCATACGGATCTATTGCCAATGTAAATTCAACGTTGATTATACGTTGTTTATGGTCGAAGTTTTTACTTTAGTTCATTCATTAACTAAAGTTTTATACCACTTATTCAGCGGAAATAATTCCTTTATTGAATTAGTCTGTAAGTGATTTTTGTCTTACAAATCACTAAGTTAATTAAATTAATTATATAGAATTAGAGATTGACTAAGTCACTTTTAACTAGTAACCTCTTATTTTATTTGCAGCCAAAGAAGTATTTAAACACCATCATGAAACACTTTAGACATACCCATAAAGGTATAGAAAAAGTAGTAGATTTGAATAGACTGTAGCTGCTGAAAGGACTTTTTAAAACGTTTGAATTTAAGCTGCACTTGAACTGTACTTTTGAAATAAAATATCTGAAGTATATAATACATGTAATAGTGTCTTGATTTTCTGTTGTTAACACTTTACTTTGCTTTATATCTTAATATCAAAGTTTAGTGGATTTGAACGTTGAAATGACATTGAATATTGCAACGTTATGTCAACGTTGAAATCTGACCATAATTCAACGTTATTACAACGTAGATGTACCGGCAGTGCAGAACCATAAACGACCATGCCATGTGGGTCTCTCGAGACTATTCCCGTTGAGCTAGGGCATCAACGCAGTCTGATCAGGATCCATGCTGTTCGCTTACCAACTCTATTACAAGTAAAGAAACTGATAGCGAACAGCATGGATCCTGATCAGACTGCTGGTCGCAAACGCATTACGTTAGTTTTGTCATGACGCAGCTCTAATGGTGTTTTAACTAACGGCTCCAGAAAATGGTAGTATTTTTTAAAGGAAAAATTTGTATACAGGAAACAACAAATCACTAATCCACAATTAATTGTTTTTATTGGTTGCTTAAGATTTAATTTAATTTCTCTCCAATACCCCCGCCCACATTTTAAAAGGATACGTTCATCAAGGAAGAAACGACCTGTCAACATTACCGTAATGGATAATACATGTACATCCCCATTATGCCAAATGCAAGTTTGCACTTTTACTACGACACTTGGGGTGTGGAGCTTAAAACGTCTTTAAAATCCAAATAAAATGTATTAATGTTTGCACCTGGCAAGACTTAGCAATTTATTTATGTCAAGATAAAGTAGAACAAATACCAATTTGGATGAAAATGTCTGGACTGTTTATTTATTAAACAAGAAAGAAAGGCATATAAAGCTTATACATGTATAAGTAAAAAACATGACATAAATTTGGACAGCAATTCGTCCTGTACATATAAAAGTAACATGTAGTAAAACAAACAACATTAAAACTATGCAAGGAGTGGTGGTTGGGGTGGTGGCGGTAGAGTGGAAAAATTTATTATAAGAATTTTGCGTGCGATACCTAGTGGTGAGAAAATTTCCAGATAAAAATTTTGCGTGCGACACCTAGTGGTGAAAAATTTCCTATGTTCCGAAAGATGGAATTACACCGAAAAGTGTTTAAACACCAGAAATGTCTAAAATATGCTAAGATGTAAGAAAAGATGTAACTGTACAAACATAAATACTTTTATACTGTTCCACTATGTAAAGTATAATTATTTGTCATTCCAAGCACATGTACTGATCATATATATATATAAAACTTAATATAAGCCGTTTTGAAAAAAAAAATCATATATCAACGTCTATAATAATACACAAGATAAAAATGTTCGCCGCAAAAAATCCGCACACCTACCGTCAACATCACATCATATTTTATTCCATTTCCAATATTTTCACATAATCCTTTGGTCCATCGACACAGAAGATATAATTCTTCACAATGATGGTACATTTTAAAATTCAACGGTAATATAAACAACGCAACAGCCGAAATAAACATCAAGATTATCGCCGTTTTACTCACCTAGAACGTGAAATTTTAAAACTTCCTTTTTTTCAAGAATTATTTTATAAGAATATCCGATGGATACATTTTTATTGCGTTTATTAAAATTGAAATACTTAAGGATATTGTGCCCATTGTACACCAATCCGCACCAATCCGCTTTAAAGCTACTAAAGGGCGAAAACTCTTTCATTGCTTGATTAAAGGTTATCTATAGAGTCTATTCGTTGCCAAAAATCCAGCCTTTGAAACTTGGCATGCATACTTCGGTTCTACTAAACAGATTAGTAAAAATCTAATTGTCGATCCGAGAGTAACATACTGCACTGGTATGAAGCATTTTAATTATCTTGATTTGATAAAATGAAGGCTGTTAACATGCAACTTAGATAAATTGCAAACTGTAGTTATAAATGTATAACTTCAAATTTGCGACATGTAGTAATGTAAACGATAGAACGTACACAATACGTTTAATGCTGTGCATCATGACGTTGAGAATGTAACTGCATCAACTTGACACAAGC